ATCAACTGCCGGTTTTTCCAAGGAGGGTGTGAGTTTGGTGTCGAATTCCATTGGAACATTGACCTTTGAGTCTCCCATCATGCCAAATTTGGCAAGAAGAGTTTTGGTGTATGCTTCCTGGTTGATAAAGATGCCTTCGGGTCCCTGTCTAATATTTAAACCAAGAAAAAATTTAATCGGACCCATTGAGCCCATTTCAAATTTAGTCTCCATCAGCTTTCTGAATTCAGCTGTTATGCTGGGATTCGTTGAGCCAAAGATGATATCATCGACATAGATTTGAATAATCATAAGGTGGTTACCTTCCTTCTTACGAAAGAAGGTTGGGTCAACCGAACCTTGTTTGAATTCGGACATCTTTAAAAACTTAGTTAGCGTTTCATACCAAGCCCTAGGTGCTTGTTTCAGACCGTAAACTGCCTTGTCCAGAATAAACAGTGATTTTGGTACTTTTCGCTGACAAAACCAGGAGGTTGCTCCACGTAAACCGTATCTACAAGTTCTCCATTCAGAAAAGCGCATTTTACATCCATTTGGTAGACCTTGAAGTTTTTGTGTGCAGCATAGGCAAGAAATATTCAAACAGATTCCAGCCTTGCAACTGGAGCGAAAGTCTCTTAATAATCAATTCCTTCTTCATGGCAGTATCCTTTCATAACTAGATGAGCTTTGTTTCTTATTACATTGCCTTCCTTGTCCATTTTATTTCTAAAGGCCCATTTGAGACCAACAACCGAGGCATCTTACTTTATTTCTTTCCAACTCATTAAGTTTGTCTTGCATAGCTTGAACCCAATCAGAGTGATCAAGAGTGGTGTTTACTGTCTTTGGTTCAACTTTTGAGACGAAAGAGTTAAACATACAGAACTCTACTTTTGAAAGTAAAGAAGTTTGCTTTGCCTTCAGTTGAGATCGGGTCAACACCTTTTTAGAGACATTACCCACAACCTGTGAAACAGGATGATCTCTAGTCTATTTGACAAGAGGAGGGTAATTTGGATCATAGGATGGATCCAATTCAGCGTTCACCATCTCTTCTAATTCAGATTGACTGTCATCGTCATAAAACATATCGGCATTCTCCCCCTCGAGTGATGAGCTTTCCGGTGTGGCTGGTGTTTCTGGTGCTACAGGACTTGCGGGTGTGGTTGTGCTCTCGAGCTGTGTAGAGCTCTCTGGCAGGGTTGATTTTTCGGGTGCTACGGTACCTTTGGGTGCAGTAGAGCTTTCAGGTGTTACAGTAACTTCGGGTGCAGTTGAGCTTTTGGGTGCTACAGTACCTTCGGGTGAGACAGTACCTTCGGGTGCAGTAGAGCTTTCTGGTGCGACAGTACCTTCGGGAGGAGTAGTGCTTTTGGGTGCAGCTGGAGAAGAGTTCTCCCCCTCAATTTTATTAGGATTTGTTAACGATATATGTTCTTTTTATTAAAGTTGTTTCATCTTTCTTCTTAATAGTGAAAACTTTAATTTTATTAGGGTTTGTTACAGTCGGTTTGGATTCAGGTTCAGGTGTTTGGGCCTTGGAATGCTTTTGATCACTCTCGACCGAGGAAACCTTCGATTTTCCTTTCAAATCTGTTGAATATTTTGGATTTTGAGTTTGAACAGAATTGAATTTAGAATGGGGTTGAGAAGAAATAGAATGAGAGAATTTAGACTGAGAAGTTTTCTTGACTTGAGGTTCTAGGTGACCCTTTTGTTTGTGGTCATTAGTGAGACCGAACCTTGAACCTTGGTAACTTTTGCTCTCGGAACCGAACCTATGCTTTCGGTAGCTGGTGTTCTCTGAACCGAACCTTTCCTTTCGGTTGTTAATACTTTCTTATTGTCTGACTGCTCTTTTTTCTTACTTCCTGTCATGATCAGAAAAATGGGCATTTTGAGATCGCCAGAACTGTTTTCGCTCTGAGAGATTCTTCTTGTATCTCAGATTCCTCTGCTGCTTTTGATTTTTCACCTGTCTGGGTTTCCTGTGAATATTCGCCTTCTGTTTTGGCTTTTGAAAAACAGGTTCTCTCTTTATAGATGAGGTTTCGTTTGTGGAGGTGACTTCTTCTACAGGAATTTCTTTAGTGCCACTTGTACTTGGTACGTCAAAGTTTTCAGGCTTGTTCAGCGGCTTTGGTACATATCTTCCTTTTGTTTTCCAGGACGTTCGCTCTAATAAACCAACTGTTTCATCGACATTATCAATAGGAGCAGACTAGAAGAACTCATCGCAGCCATCTGCATTATCTTCGTTTACAATGGCAGTGAGTTCAGCTGTTTGATGTTCGGATACTCCTTTGACTTTATATACCTAATTTTGTGTTGTTCTCACCTTTTGGTACACAACATCCTTTTCCTTAAGAATCGAGGACTTAATTTGTGACAAACGAGCGAACTCCACAGAATTTTCAGAAATAAGATTTTTGTGGTTTTCGTGTTCGCTTTTGACAAACTCAGAACAGTCGACTTCAACTTCTACAGAAATTACACTCATATCATCATCCTCATTAAGTTCAGATGCGTTTTTAACATCAATTATATTTTCTGAACTTAAATTGGCATTCAATGAGTCAAATTTTTGTATGGTTTGGTCCTTAGTTTCAGCTTATCGTTTTCATCCAAAAGATTTTTCAGCATGTCCTTATGGTCCTTGGACTTTATGAAAGATTCTATTTTGTCCAGACCATACATGTAAGTGGGATTCACATCATCAGACGACACAACACTTTCGCAGTTATATGCTTCAACATCGATTTCATCCTCCTTAAACTCAAGGAAGGGAAAAATCATGCGATGAATTTTCTGCCCTATTTCACAGTTCAGATGAAGTTGAGTGACGTTAGCATAAAGACGTTTAGCAATTAAACAAAAAACATTTCTATGTTTCAAAAGTTTTAAATTGTCTCTTTGCAAATAAATGTTTTCATCTTTGGATTTAATCAGCTCCGATTCCTTCAGCTCTATCCACATCCTCCGTTCTTCACTCTTTGAAGACACCCTGCTTATTTGGTCAGTTAGGTTAGAATTGGTGACCCGTGTTTGAGTTAAACTACTATCTAGATTTGAGATTCTTGAATTTAAGGTTTTTAATTCTTTTTAATACGAATTTTGTGGGACTTTAAATGAAACAAAAGCGGATTGTACCTTCTTGATCAATTCATCTAACTCATTGATCTGCACGCTGAGAGGTTTTGCTGTGAAGCATACGTCCTCTCGCTCCTTGGAGTCATCATTCCCACCATCCGTATTGTATCCCCTCATTTCAGATACATCTATCACCATCAAACACTTCCCACCTCTTTCTTCACCTGTTGCAACGTATGCCTCTCCATGAGATGGTTTCCTGACCTCATCATCCTCTGAGTCGAATAACCAGACCTGCACGCCACCGAACTCATCATCCACTGCCGAACCCTGCACAATTAAAGCATTCATTGAAGGCTTAGCAGTAGCTTTCTTTGTCTTGATCTCTTCCAGCTTTTTCATCAACAAGGCCTCTTCATCTTTTTCCTCATCCTTCTCTTCCATTTTCTTTAGAACGTAGTCTTTGGCATAGTGGTTCTTTCCTCCACAATAGTAGCAATTCACACCTGAATCTTCTTCAACTTTCGCCTCTTTCTTTGGTTCCTCTGTCTTTGGCTCCTGCCTAACCTTTTCGGAACTACAGCTTCCCTGCCAGTTTCAGTTCTTATTGGTAGGGAATCTATTCTTGATGAACCTCTTCGGATTAGACACCATCATTGCATAATCTTCAGAAGTAAGATCATAGTCTTCTAGGTTCAGATCTTCATCTTCTACCACATTTTTGCTTTTAGATAGGAGGGCCAAGGACCCCAAACTTGAGACCACATTCTTCTCTTGCATAAGAATCTTTTCTTGGGATTTCAAAATTCCCACCAGCTTTGCCAGCGAGTAAGACTTGAACTACTCGTGAGCTTTGACTGTAGACACAACAGCTCTCCATTCAGATCTTAGGCCATTCAAAAAGGTGACTTTCTGTTCAATCAGCTTCCTTTGTATATCATGTTTGATTATCTTGCTAAGAAGATGATTGAAGCGATTGAACATCTGAGTAACAGTTTCATCAGAATTCTGCTTAAATTCACCAAACTCAGACAAAAGCAAGGTCTGAATAGAATGCTCCAAATCTTCATCTATGGAATATAGCTCTCGCAGCCTATCCTAGATTTCCTTAGCGGTACTGCAGGAACTCACCAACCTAAATGTATCATATTGAAGAGCGAATCGGATCAGTCTCAATGCTTTAATGTTGCACTGAAACATTTCCTTTTCGTCTTGAGCAACATCTTTTAACAGATCATTATACTCTTTCTGAATTTTAATGATTCTAGATGTTCCTGAGTGAGCGAATGGTCCTGACACAATAGCTTCCCATATAAGATACCCATTGTCTTCAGATCCGATGATGTAGTCTTCAAAGTGATGCGCCCAAACTTCGTAATCTTGAGCGTAAAGAATAGGAATCTTTGTTGTTGATCCAATACTGTTTGAGATGTTGATAGGATTAGATTAAGAATCGTCCATGCTTGGTCGTTTAACCTGTTTGAAAGATCAGACTTGTAATATATAATATTAGGGAAAAACGAATAAGTAATGAGATACGTCAATTATGAAGTGACGGCTCAATAAATATCAGTTAATGCGGAATAATATGAATTACACAGCCTCCTGCTCTGATACCAATTGTTGAGTTATAAAAACTCTTTGATCGATTAGATCTTTGTAACAGGGAAATAATGAACGTAAAAACAATGAGATAAAACACAAGTATGGATCTGAATGAGTCGAATGATTAGATTACTCAATCCTCAGCAGAGCTCGATAAAGAACTTCCGTTGTAGAGGATTCTAGGGTTACAAAAGATATCTTCAAAAAAACACAGAAATGTACTCCAAAAACTATATAAAAAGATGCATGCAAGCATCTATTAATACTCAAACCCTAACAAACAAATCACGGATGGACAGGCCCATACCGGATACAAGATAGGGCTAAGAGACGACCCCAAGACGCAACACCATATACCCAACACACCTTATGGTGGCCGGTGGTGGCGGTGCTCGCTCTTGATTTCTGGCTAGACCAAACGACCACACTTCACTCGAACTTGAAGCAGCAACGCACTCGCAACCTTGTGAAATACAAGCATGGTCGTCCCTTGGGACGCTAAGCAACAATCGGAGCGACATGAGGGCTGCATTGGCGACGACGAGAAGTCGTGGCTGGAACATGATGGCCACTAGAACGGCAGCATCAACGACTAGCAGCGGAAGGTGACGATGAGAGTCCACCATCGACGGTAGCGGCGCAACAATGGTAGCAACGAACGGCAACAAAAGAGGGTCCTTTGCTCGGTTTCTATTGATGGCAATGCAAAAGTCAATGCCACCCGGAAACGATGGAGGTGGCGGTACTAAACAGCAACACCGCTGCTCCTCAGTGCCATAGCGATGGACGTAGGATAAGGCAGCCACCCAAACGCAAATAAAAACATACCCACAAACGAGTTCTTAATCCCTTGAGTCTCTTCGTCTTGCCAGCGGTGGGACTAGGTGGCTGCTCCGAAGGTTCTTTGGTGATGGCGGTTGGGAGGAGAAGAGGAAGGGTCTGATAGTTGATTTATGAATTTGGGTTAGGGTTAATATGGCATGAGTTATATATGGAGGCTGCACACATGAGGATGACGGGATGGAAGGGTGGTACCGTGTCTAAACTCATGTCCATCCAAACTTCAATCCAAAAATCTAACTTTAACCCCTCCTCACTATTTTGTTTTCAAATTAACTCCAAAAGTTACACTTTAGTCCTTGCCCTCGGAAATCTTTACAAAGTGGCTCCAAAATTTACACTAAACCCCTAACATTCCAAAATTTACTACAATTCACTCCCGTAACTAACATCTATTAATTACTATAGATTTAGGGCTCGAACAAAATAATATAAAATATATTTCTCATCCTAAGATTCATTTATTTATTTAGTTTATTTATTATAAAATAATCGGGGTGTTACAAAAGTAATAGTCTCTAGAACATTTCTAATCCATACATGCATTCACTATATATACTACATAACCCTAACAAAACACGGATGGACAGGCCCAATCCGGTAAATACAAACAAAGCCCATGACGCAACATATTTATCCTACAATCTCCCCCTTTGCATCCATCGAACCAAAAGCTTAGTTCAGTTGAGCAACTGAAGACTTCTTAACAGTTTTGAACAGCTTCGATATAATGGCTAGAAGAGTGTGAAGAAATGTAATATACCACTAAAGCATGTCTGTGAAGTTCTTCTTATCAGACTCACTGTTCTTCTTGCACCCATGAATAATGTTGATGATGTGCTCCAAGCAATCGGTTGAGAACAGATGCTTATCCACAAGAGCAAATAAAATCTGCTATGTTCGGCTCTTGTGAACATGATCGTTAGATGCGTAGGATCAATTTGACCCGTTGTCATTTTATTCACATCTCTCGGTTTCGGAGTTGGCTTCACAATCGGTTTCTTGTTCATGACAGTGGCAATCTCTTGATCCATCTTAGCCACTACGTAAATATACAACCCCAACATCCTCTTTAAATGATTCAGGATCGATTCATACTCCTTTGAATTTGTAAGCAAAATGTTGTATAACAAAATCCAATCATGAGGATTCAAGTTTGGGAGATCTGCAAGGGAAATTAAAGAGACTGAGTTGTCTAAACCTTGAGTAACTCTGAATCGAACATTGACAAACTTCCCCGTAGGTGTAGGCTTCAGCACTTTGACTGACATGATCTTCTCGGAACTCGACGTCAAGTACTGAGGTTGACCGAACTGCAGATAAAAATCTATAAGCTCTCGATCAATCTAAGGATGAGGCGAAGGCGCTTCAGCAGTAAAATCAATGCAGTGAAAAACGAACGGCTTCCTCGTTATAGGCATATCGAATTAAGAATCCTTCGTTTTTTCAATATTAAATGAAGCCACTGGTTCCAACCAGAAAACACTTGGGAATTCAATCGCCTCTTTTATCATCTTTTCCCTAGTCAATGTGGGAAAAAGGACATTTTACATCCAAGAGCACCATGCTCTGCATTCCTCTTCCTTTCCTTCTCCTCTTCTTCCTTCACAATCCTCTAAGTCTCATTTAACTCTTGATCTCTTTGATTTCTTTTGAGTATGTCGATTATTGTTTTCTGGTCTTCATCACTCTCATCATTGGATGGACCCTTCTTTTCTTTAACATTACAACCCAAAGCTTCATTACCCATCGGTTCAGGTTGGATCACAACTTTCGGTTGAACAGGAGGTTGACATGAAGGCTTTTCTACTATAACTTGCACACCTTCTCCCCTTTTTGCGGAGCGACCATTGGCTTTTCTACTATAACTGGCATGTTCATCTCTCAGATGTCGTTCAACGGCTAAATCAGCCTTGATTTTCTCTAACCGAGAGTCAATAGAGGAAATATGAGATTTATTCTCGGTTTGAAGATCAGCTCGAACTGCTTCAAATTTTGCTTGTTCTCCTTGAAGCAAGTGGGTTAGAGAGTCAACCGAAACATTAACTGTGGTAGCATTGGAGTTGGCATGACCCTGAAGCGACTCTAAGAAAAGTTTAGATTCTTGAATAAAATCCTTAACATCCTTAGTAGCTTGTTTACACTGGGAAGTAGAATCATCCATAGCAGTTGAGCACTTATCCATGGATTGGGCATATTGCTCCAAAGTTGTATCCATGAAGGCTTTCAGGATAATGCAATAGGTTTCTAATAACACTCAAGCAGCTTTTCTAGCCTACCATGAGCACTATCAAGTTGGTCCTTAGTAACAGGGAAGCATCATCATCTTCAGTCGGGAGCCGGTAAGGACTATAGTAAGTCGAGTCATACTCAATATCATCACCTCCAATAATCGGATTAGAGTTATACGAAGCAGTAGGTGTAATAGGTTTAGTAGTAACAGGAGGTTCAATACCAGTAAATTCCCCCGTATCAGATACATTGACATTCACCGGTAGATCGATTATGGTTGAGGTATTAATAGGTGTTGTAGTAATTATAGGAGTAGTGCGAACAGGTGGTGGTGGGATTGGTGAAGAAATCGGTTGCGTTGTAGAAATTGGAGTTATTAGAGCAACCGATTCTGAAATAGTAACTTTTGGTGATGAATCAGGTGGAGTAGGTACCTTGGTATGGAGATCATTAGTTGGAGTTGGAGATCTAGGAGGTGTGTCTCCTCTTGGTGAGTCCTCAAGATGAGCTTCTTCTTCATCATCAACCGATGTAGACCTTCTCTCCATCTTTTTAATTTTCTTAGGATGAGCTGAAGATCCCCCTTTCTCTGATTTCCTCTTTTTGGATCCCCCCTTATCACCCTTCATTAATCTGTCAACTTTTGAAGACGCATCCATTCCTAGATCAGCAGGCTTTTCTTCCTTCTTCTTACCACATTTAGAAGGTTTTTCCACAGCTTGCAAAGTTCCCTTCATCTCAGACCCTAATTGGCGAGGACCAATAGGATTGAGTTTGCGATTAGCTTCCATAATTGTGCTATTGAGTGGAGCACAGCGAGACATTGTCTCAAGGATGGAGCCAACATGAGTGTATCTGGATTCATCGGCGATAATCACCTAGGTGTGAAACGTGGCCACAGAGGATAACAAAACATCCTCCATCACCATAATTTTTAGTGAAGAGATGGCTCTTTGCGTAACAAGCATCCAGAATCTTCCACAAGAAATCGCTGATTGCTTGGTCAAAGAACTGAGGCTTTGCACCAGTAGAGACCAAAACAATGACCCATAGTCTAGATTAAGGCCAGAATGGTCATGAAGCACCTGTTGGAACCATCTGTCACTGCTACTCTTTCACCCAAACCCTTGTAAAGTAGAGTTAATAACCCATTCCATTGGGGTGGTAGACATGACTTCTTGAACTTCGTAAAAGAAACAAGAACCTCAGTATAGCCCATCTCATAGAACATGCCAAAGAGCTGAGTCGTCGTACAAAAATTGATTCAGATCAATGATCAAGTTCTGGTTAGGATTGATCACCAGTATGGAAGATGAAGCAGATTGGTCATTGTGAGAAGATGAATCTGCCATTGTTTAATTAAAGAAGATGAACAGTTGAGAATTGCCTGTTATATTCGAGAGATGGTGAAGAATGTAAGAAATGAAAATGGTTGTGAGAAACCATTTATATACCATTGCCATGAGAGAGATAGAATCTTCTGTTATGATTACACGATCTCTGAACCGTCACTTGAAAAAGCAGGATTTGACAGCTTGGTTTCCCCATATAAACATCATCACGCGTGTGGCTAAGAGCCGTTTCAAATTCACGCGCCTATTTTTATCCTTATCTGTTAAAGTGGTTCAAATTCGCATCCACACAATGCCTCATAGACTGAATTTTCTACTTGCACGACACATAGGTCAATCGAACAAGTAGGTGAACAAGTAGGTGAGATATGTGTATAACTGGTTACGAATTGAAATCTCAAAAATAAAAAAATAAAATAAATAAAAAAACTGGACCTTTTAGGAAGAAATGCATTGGTATTAGACAATTTCATAAAGATCTCGCATAAAAAAGAAAAAGAGATTTCAACCGGTAACAAGTTAAATCTTGAATTTGAAGATTCACCGTTAATTCTTATTGGTATTGAATTGTGGGTCTCACTCAACACGTGGTATACACAGCTAAGATCATCAACACAGATTGTGGGTAACCATAAACCTCAGTGGTAAAAACCGAGAATCTCAAGGGTTACGTTTGTGAACCGAAAGTAGATGAAGAATATTGATTAGGTAGTTAAAGAACCAAAAGTACCTCTATTGTTAAAGATTGACAAAGCAGTATACTCTCAACTACTTTGAGAAGAGTAAGGTAGCTCGTGACGTGAGAAAATTTGGCCTGATTGGGTAGAAACGATAGGTACAGATCGAATCATTAAGGCCTTACTCAGAGTCTTTGAGGCTTTGGTCTACATGCAACAACATGCTTCTAGGGACACCTAACTGGTTGTATAATGAGAAATTTCATACATTCTCTTGTTTTAAGAGCATGAACCTTCTATATCTTAGATACCTATGAAAAAATAAAGAAACCACACAAAAAGCAAAAAAAAAAAGGAATATTTATTTAAAATAATTAATAAAAAAATATATTTTTGTTTTTTGTTAAAATAATTAATAAAAAAATAAAAAAAAAACATAATAAAATTTAAAATAAATAAGAGGAAAAAAATTGTGAACAGATTATACAACCGAAACTGACCTTTAGAGATTTTAAAGTGAGATAGACCGCGCGTTCAACAAATATTGGTTCCTGAAAAGTATGAAGCTGAAATAGACCGAGCGTTCGGCTTATATCGGTTTCTTAAAATTATGGAGCCGAAATAGACCGAGCATTCGGTTCATTTTGGTTCCTTAATTTTCATGAAACTAAAATAGACCGAGCCACGTTCTATTACACTTAGCTAACCTTTTACATAGACGAAAGGTGTTTCGATACGGATTCTGCTTCTATCATACCTAAGCCATGTAGTCTATGAAAACTCGTTTCAGGCAACGCCTTAGTGAATATATCGGATAGCTAATCTAATGATCGAACACAGTGAACTTCCACATTTCCATCTTCAACATGGTCTTTGATGAAGTCGTATCTCAGTGCAATGTGTTTGGTCTTGGAGTGCTGAACTGGATTATGACATATCCTTATCGCACATTCAGAATCACAGTAAAGCGGAATTTTCTTCATAATTAAACCATAATCTCTTAGCTAACTTTGTATCCATACCACTTGCAATGTACATGATGCAGCTGCAATATATTCAGCCTCGTCTGTTGAAAGTGACACACATGTCTGCTTCTTTGACTGCCAGCTGACAAGTTCGCCATCAAGGAATTGGCATCCTCCCGTTGTGATCTTTCGGTCCAATCCGCATCCACCAAGATCTGCATCTAAAAATGCTTGAACAAAGAAACCGAAATTTGCTGGATACCAGAGACCGAGAGATGATGTTCGCTTCAGATAACGAAAGATGTTCTTCACGGCTATCATATGAGGTTCTCTTGGATTAGCTTGAAATCTGGCACAATAGCAGACTGAGAACATTATATCTGGTCTACTAGCCGTCAGATACATGAGAGATCCTATCATTTGACGATAGAGTGTCATGTCTGCAGCTGGTTTATCCAGAGATGGCATCAATTTCGTGCCAAACGCCATAGGAACCTTCACTTTTGAATCTCCCTTCATTCCAAATTTTGTTAGCAAGTTCTTGGTGTAAGCCTCCTGATTTATAGATATACCTTCTGGTCCCTATCTAATGTTCAGTCCAAGAAAAAAGTTAATCGAACCCATAACGCTCATTTCAAATTTAGTCTCCATCAACTTCCTGAATTCTGTTGTTAGGCTAGGATTCGTAGAGCCGAAGATGATGTCATTGACATAGATTTAAACAACCATCAAATGTTCGCCGTCTTTCTTACATAAAGAAGGTTGGGTCAACTGAACCTTGTTTAAACTTAGACATATTAAGGAAACGAGTTAAGGTTTCATACAATGCTCTCGGTCCTTTCCTTAGACCATACACCGCTTTATTTAGAACATAGCAGTGATTAGGATACTTTTCATTTACGAAACCAGGTGGCTGTTCTACGTACACTGTCTCTTCCATTTCTCCATTTAAGAAGGCGCACTTCACATCCATTTGAAAGACTTCGATGTTTTAATGAGCAGCATAGGTGAGAAATATTCTCACTGATTCTAATCTAGCTACTGGAGCGAACGTCTCTTCATAGTCTATTCCCTCTTCTTGGAAGTATCCCTTTTCCACTAGTCGAGCCTTGTTCCGAATGATGTTGCCCTCTTTATCCATCTTGTTCCTGAATACCCATTTTAATCCGACCATAGAAGCATCCTTAGGAGTGGGAATCCATCTCCAAGCACAATTTCTTTCGAACTTATGCAGTTCATCTTGCATTGTCTGTACCCAATCGGTATGATCAAGTGCAGTATGGACCATCTTTGGTTCGATTTTAGAGACAAATGAATTAAACATGCAAAATTCGACTTGAGAAAATAATGCAGTCTGCTTTGCTTTCATTTGAGAATGAGTAAGAACTCTTTCTGATGATTAACCAATGATCTGTGTTTTGGGGTGATCCTTTGTCCATTTAATCAAGGGAGGATAATTCGGATCATAAGCTGGATCCAATTCTGCATTGACCTCTTCTTTGAGTTCTGATTTATCATCTTCGTCATTTGTATTGTTATTCTCTCCCTCAAATAGCGAAATATATCCAACGTCAGGTTCAGGTATTTCTCCCTCAGTTAGAGTGGGATGCTCCCTTTCGGTTGGAGATGGATTTTCCCCTGCTGCTGGATGCTCCCCCTTGACTTGAGCTTTGTTATTTGGAGTTGGATGTGCTCCCTCGACATGCTGTTCTGCTGTGTTTGAAATAGAGGGTTGACTCTCGGCTGCTACAAGAGGATCGGTTTCAGCAACATGTATAGCTTCATCGATGATTGTCTTCAGATGATCAACTTTGTTGTCGGCTGCATTTTCCTCCGAATTGATGGCCTTTTCTGGTTCATCAAATAACCTTGTGAATTCTTCAAACAAGTTGGAAATTGGAGTTGAGATTAGACCAGTTTCAGGGAAGATTTCTATTGTAGTTTTGTCGGTTAATTGAAGTTTCTTAACATAATTGTCATCAAAGGTAACATAGTAGGTTTCTTCGAGATGCTTGGTTCATTTCTTTAGAACCCTATATGCCTTTGAGGTCAGTAAATACCCAAGAAATATCCCTTCATCTGCTTTGATGTCAAACTTGTTTCGGTTCTCCTTGGAGTTAAAGTTGAAACATCTGGAACCGAACACATGGAAAAATTTTATGTTGGGCTTTCTATTGTTTAAGATCTCGTATGGGGTTAAGGTGAATCTCTTGTTGAGAAGGAATCGCTTCTTAGCATAGCAAGCACATGCGATGGCATCAACCCAGATGTAACACTGTGATTTTTCAAAAAATAAAAATAAAAAATCATGTTAAACTACAAAAATTCTCATAATACATTCCACAAAAAAAATCCCAATAATCAATTAGCAAAACACAATTCCATCATAGTTAAATTAATAATCTAGGATCCTCCAAAAGATAACTCTTTATCTCATGGGTACAATCAAACCATCGCCTACCCGTGATCCTGAGAAACACCTGAAACACATAACACACAACATGGTAAGCATGAAGCTTAGTGAGTTCCCCAAAATACCACAAATACACATTAGCCACTCAAGGCTATAACTTTGTAGACCCTCCGGCCAATGTGTCTTAGTGGGACCCTCCAGTCCCACAACTCTAATGGACCCTCCGGTCCTAATTCTGTGGACCCTCCGGTCCTAACTTTGTGGACCCTCTGGTCCTAACTCTATAAGCTCATAATAAATACACAACATAATTCACGTAGACATAATGCAGGATGTCGCAGTACTCTAATAAACACATAAGATCAATATATACACATATTACCA